ACTAATCAGAAAAAAAATAGCTCATTTTCTGTTACTTTTTTAAAAAATATCTAAGACTGACTAGTTTATGAAGAATGCAGGTTTATTTAGCTTACAATTCTGGAAGCTGGAATGTACAAAGGCATGTTTCTGACACCCGATGGTCCTCTGGTAAGGGTCTGAAACACACATTGTATTGGTAAATTGTCACATTCTGTTAAGTTTCCTGAAGGTGGACTCTGGAAACAATGAGGCCTTCCCTTGTCTCCTCCAAAACTCCTTATCCTGGGTCAGCCTGGCCCCCTGGTTCTGTAACAGAGAGAGGCAGAAACAGCCAGCAGGCCAAGAATAGCAAAAGCATCATGTCCTTGAGAACAGCTGGGAGGTAAAGGATTTGCAAGTATCAAGAAACTCATCCATGGAAAGGAAGCTCAGTCAGGAACTGCAGCTGACTGCCTCAACTTCCCCAGGCCATTTTTGCTGGGTATTGTAAGCCCCAGTTTGGTGATGCTGTCTTTGTTTGCTCGTCAATTAGGCTACTCCAGCTGGATAATGAAAACAACTGACCTGAAGATGTTTAGCTGCTCTTTCTATCTCTATAGTACTTGGTATCTTTTTCTTTTTAACTTTTGCTTTCTCTCTATATAAAACCTGGTCGTTGTAGCTCATTCTCTGGACTGTACAGAACAGGGACTTCCTGCTACATCAAAGCACGGCAGAGCACATCTCAGGGTAAGGAAGAGCAAGCTCATCGGGGAGCTCACAGCTTTTTTTGTTGTTATTGTGGCTTTCTCGTTTTTGGTTTAGTGTGTGTTTAATGTGTCCGTGTGCATGCCCATGCAGTCAGCCATGCATGCCACTGCATGCATGTGATGGTCAGAGGACAATTGAGGGAACCGGTTCTCTTCCAGCGTGTAAGTTCCAGGGATCCAATCAGGCTGTCGGGCTTGGCGACAAGCATTTTCACCTGCCCAGGCATCTCACTACCACCATCCCCCCCTTTTCATGCTTACCTATATATTTATCTTTGTTTCTGTCTTTGTTTGGTTTGGTGGGACTGGGGATTAAACCCAGGACCATTGACCTACATTTCTAGCCATTGTTCTTATTCATTTTGAGGTGGATCTTGCTAAATTGCTGTGGTGGTTTAAATAAGAATGGCCCTCATAGACTCATGTATTTGTATCCTTTGTCACCAGGGAGTGGAGCTCTTTGATAGGATTAGAAGGATTAAGAGGTGTGGCCTTGGAGGAAGTGTGTCACTGGGGGTGGAGGACCAAGGATGGGGTGGGGGAAAACTTGGGGTTTCAAAGTCTGTTCCAGGCCCATTCTCACTCTATTTTTCTGCCCTGTGGATCAGGATGTAGTTCTCAACTACTTCTCCAGCACCACGCCTTCGTGCATGCTACCATGCTCCCAGCCATGATGATAATGAACAAAACCTCTGAAGCTGTAAGCCAGCCCTCGCTTAACTCTTATTAGAGTTGTTTTGGCCGTGGAGTCTCTTCACAGCCACAGAATCGTGACTAAGACAGTTGCTAAGGCTGGCTTCAAACTTAGGGTCCTCCTGCCTGAGCCTAGAGCTGGAATAACAAACATGTATTACACCTCCAAGTGAGAACTCACTTTTACAAGGCAGTCATTCTATCTATTAATCGGTGAATGGATTAAGCCATTCATGAGGATGGAGGCCCCTGCCGAACACTGACACAATTGCAATCTGATTTCAACATGGGTTTCGGAAGGAACAAGCTGTATCCAGACCGCAGCAAACTGAAATGTCCATCGGAGGCGTGGGGGCATGAACTGTGGTTTTCTTGTACTGACCAGTTATTCAGAAGTTAAAATGAGTGTGCTTGGAAACACAATACTGGATTTTAAAAAAAAAAAAAAACACAGTAAGTTCTCAAACGATAGGGTCACTGTGACATCACTTATGTAAAAATAAAAAGCACTCAGAGTATTGCTAGGTGTAATTTATGAGTAATATGGGGGAGAGCACATGTGTCAGAAAAATACCCACTGATTGCAGGATAGCAGCTGTGTGTTTGAAGAGAGAAAGGGGCACAAAGGGCACCGAAGCAGGTGTTCAAGGTCTTTTTGTTGTTGTTGTTGTTGTTTGTTTTAAGAATCTGATGCAAATGCAGTAAAACGTTAGCTTCTGCCGTCTCTTGGGTGGGGTAGGAGGTCCTTGTTATGTTTCTCTTTGTATTTTGCTGTCAGATTGCCATACTTCAAAACTGAGAGGAAAAAAGAAAAAGAGAACAGTGCAAAACCCCAGCAGCGCTTGACATGCGTTTACACGCGCAGCCCCTGAGAAGGGGAACCCTTCTTAGGACGGACTCCCCGGTTTCCAATGAATGCTCGCAATGTGGTTTTCTTTGCTGCAGAAACGGACACCCAAGGGGGCTTCCACCCACTCCTGCCAATTATACTACGTCCTTCTGATCTCACGGCTCATAGAAATGGACCCCATTTCCTTCATTCAGATGCAGGGTAAAAATGAGACTACAGGAAGCTGGCTGCCCCAACCACCTCAACAGCCGCAGGAGGCCCCAGTGCCTGGGTTCCAAGCCCCCCAGCTGCTTCTCTACCTAGAGGGAAGTCCTACCTAGTTCTTCCTTTAGCTTTTTTTCTTTCTCTGTCTTTCCCAGGGTTTTGCTGTAGAATCACACTTCTTAGGCATTCAGCAACTCCCATTTCCAAATGCCAATACCTGGATTCCTTTCTCATGAATCCACCCAAGCTGAAGCCTGGAACGATGTGAGTGGAGGCTTTTTATGATGTCCCTGGATTCCACCTTCAGTTCTGGTTGAAGGCATCGGGTGCTGAAAACGGTTGAGAACAGGCTCTCTGAAGACATTTCAAAACCAACCAACCAACCAACCAACCAACAAAAAACCAGGCACCAGACTGAAGCGCCTGCCAATATCCAGTGTGATGCTGAGCCGAAGGTCCCAAAGTGGTCCCTACTTTGAGAACCTCTGCCCGGAAAGACTGAGCCCTGGATTGTTTTAATGGCCCTGCAGCCTTGACATAAAGGTGTTCAAAGAGGGACTTCTTGTTCTCTCAGCAAAGGAGCCATGTCCCAGACCACCAGTCTACAGGCTCTGTTCCCATCCTGAATGCCCTGACCACGCCTCTAAAGGGCACAGCCTGCAGGATGGCTGTGCACTGACCCCAGAATCTCGAAGGGCAGAATCAGATCAGATCTGAGATGACTCATGGCTGGACAAGGCACAGACTCTGGGAAAGAAAGAGGGAAGGGATGAGAAAGGAGCCGGGGGGGGGGGGGGAGGAAGGATGGGGAGGGAGGCAAGAGTCCAGAGCAGAGATGCTGTCTAGCTGGGGTCAGCAGCTCCCCAGAACTAAGGGCACAGATGTAAGGAAAGCATCAATGACACCTGTCCAGTCCCCTACATGTGACTTCCAGCTTCGTTCAGGGGGTTCTGTGGCGTTCCCACTGTTACCCCCCACCCCAGATGCTGCTGGATCAGGCCAACTTTGGGGCAGCAGAGAGGCTTCTTAGAGTGGAGAGGGGAGGACAAGCTGGCAGGTGGGGCAGGTGAATGGAGCTGCTGATGTCAGGTCGGGGTGCGGGGTCACGTGCTATGCTTATGGGAAGTAATAACTCCAGCCGCCTTTGATGTCCCCGCTCCAGCTGGACTTCCGGGAAACCCTTAGGTCTCTTCACTGCTGCTGATTTCTCCAGCCTCTTTCTCCCAGATTCCAGATCTCAGGTGCCCTCACACCCACAAACCCATCCATCCCATGTTATAACAGCTCCCATTCTCGTGTTAGCATTGTGCCCTAGTTCTGCTGCCTGTTAGGAGGGGTGAGTCTGGGAGGGAGCCGGTGGTAGCTGAGATGCCCTACACATTCCTCTATACAGATAGTGAGGTCTACAGGAGGAAGGTGATTGGCGCAAAGCCTCTTTATCTGCATAGTCTGCAGGGCCCATATGCCCATATGGATCAGATCCCAGCCTTCAGCTTCCTGGGAAAGGGGGCACCCTGCCCAGTGCCCAAGCGGCACCTTGAGCCTCTTGAGAGGGGAAATTAGCCATCTGGAGAGATTTCTCGTGTTGCCTCTCCATTTTCCCTTTCCTTCTTGATTTCTCTTGGCCGCTTTGCTTAGCTCTGCTTATTTGCGTCCTCTGCCCAGACGTGATGTTCCACAGGTGGGGGGAGCCCTCCAGGCTCTGCCTCTCCAGCTAGTCGGCTATCCCTCCCAGCTCCTTAGGACTCAGGGACTTCGGGAGCTGCAACAGAACAGCGCCCTCTGCCTTCTTCAGGTCTCTCCACCCACTGCTCCCCAGAAGGTGGCCACCTTCTCCCCTGTGTCCTGGGCAGCAAACCTCCATACACAGATGGTCACGCAGATCCCACCTCAGAGATGACATGCATTAGGCCCAGAGCTGGGACCCACGGCCCTGTGAGGAAAGGGTTATCACCTTGTTTTGTGGATGAGGAGACAAGCCCTGGGAGGGTTCGTGGCTTTCCCGAGAGCACACAGCTAGTACAGGAAGCCTGGGATCTCTGGCTCCAGATCTGACCGACTCAGAAGGTCAGGTTCTTCCTATATACATCGGAAGCTGAAATCTTTTCTGAAAGATGGCTTCTAATAGGAACAGGTCCCGGGAGGAGCAGAACAGTGACTTGAGATACTCGCCTAAAGAGCAAGGGGCAGTCAAATGCCCAGATTGTAGACCCAGAAACCCATTTTGAGGGGTGATTCGTCCCAGGTGATGAGCGAGCTGTAAACAAGCTCACTGAAGGACGCCTCACATTATCAACCTTTCCCACCTACTGCCACCCTGCCCCAGGCTCTGCGCGCCCTTTCGGACAGGACGGCTCTGTTTTCCTAATCCGCTGGGAAAGACTGCTGTCCTCTAGAGTAACTCACAATGGAGGCTGTAAAGGGAACTACCCCACGATGACCGCACGATGCCGCCCGTGAGCCATGCACACCGTTGCCACTCGCACGCGGGGGCTGGTAGCCTAGCGATTCTGCTGTGTTTGGGGTCAGAATTGGTAAGTCCGGGAGCATCAGGGCCTGGGGTCACAAGATGAGTCAGCCCTGTAAGGTGACCCGTCGACGTCGTGCTTTCTCTGCTGATGTCTGCCTGTCTCCAAGTGGGGGCGTTTGCCCCCCACACCTATAGTCCCCGCTTCTGACCTGTGAGCTCAGCTCTCCTTCCCGAACCTCCGCAGCGCACTCCCAGCCCCACTCAAGCTCACTTGGCAGCCTTGAACTCAGCGAGGTTCACACACCCGCTCACACGCCGCCTTAGATTTGCCTCCAGTGGCTTCCGCATGGGGATAGGACCTTCTGGGGGCTTTATTTCTCAAGATCTGTGGCTTTGTTGACAACGAGATTGACACTGTACTCCTCGCCTTGGGCTGCCCCCCACCCCGCACCTGGGTGTAGAGAGTAGAAAGATAAGGAAAGGCACCGAGCCTGGCCGCCTCTGTGCTTGGGGCCTTTCAACCTTGGTGGGATGGGGAAAGAGGGGAATGAGATGGACACCCATGTGGTCACCCCTGACGGGCTGTGACTTCACCACAGCTGCAGAGGCACCCCCAACTCCGTCGAACTGGCAGAAGCCACCTACAATTGTCATTACCTGTCCTTACCACCTCTGGAAACTGAGGACCCGGTGATTTTAAATCTTTCTATGTTATGTCGGTCCTCTGCTTTTTATCTCCGCACGGCACTCACCTTTAGATAGTTCCTCTGGATTTTAACTCAGCCCTTGACTATGGACCCTCGTCAACGCACCCAAGTGGCCTCCTCTCAGGACGGTGACAGATTTCCCCCAAGTCGGCCCCTTTACTCCAGCGTGTGCAATGCCCCCTCCTCCCTCTAGAGGGCTCTGAATCAGCGGTAAGTAAAGGTATCCACTCCGTTTACATGTACAGTCAAGGGTTTTATTTGAAGGATTTGTAGTGACTCACCGGAGGAAGGAGGTAGTGGCCACTCAGGCTAAGGGAGGGCAGATGCCAGGCACCTCATCCTGGGCAGAAGCTCATCATCTTCTCATCGCATGGCTGCTGGGATCCATCCGATCAACTGTGGTTTTCCCAGTCACAGGTCTGCATACCAACAGCCAGGCCTGTCTTGGATCTCATGTCTACTCAACGCACAGGGAGGGTTGGACATACCGAGTGACAGTCCTGCGGGAGTGCCCATGGTGGCCAGCAACATCCACCCAAGTGCCTTCTCTGGCCTAGACTGGAGGCACTCTCAGTGAACATTGCGTACCAGGCAAGGGTTACAGGTAGGAGGTGACTGGGGCGCAGAAAGCCGTAGGGCAGCATTTCTCAACCTGTGGGTCACAACCCTTTTGGGGGTCACATATCAGATAACCTGCATGTCAGATATTTACATTCCAATTCATAACGGGCAAAGTTAGTTATGAAGTAGCAATGAAATAATTTTATGGTTAGGGGATCACCACAACACGAGGAACTGTACTAAGGGGTCACAGCATTAGGAAGGTTGAGAAGCACAGCTTTAGGACTTGACCCGTGGTCACCCAGCAGCACAAACATATGGCAAGGATGTGTGGATTCACCTGGTATTCTTGGGTTTGGTATGACTCACCTGGAACCCCTGGAGGTCCCCCCTGTAGACCACGCCCCCCGCAGATACTTTTTGGGGTAAGGGCTTCCTGACTACTGTCGAGAGAACAGCAAGCCCAGACCGCAAAAAGATCCAAAGGAGGCAGCTGCGGAAGGGCTGCGGGGAGATGCCGTCCCTCCCAGGCCAGGGCTTGCATCTGCAGATGGGTTCAAGGAAGAAGAGCCGGGACCTGGAGAGAAGGCAGGTGGAGGAGGGAAGTGGAAGGAGGCAGGGCCCTGGGATGCAGGCGGGCAGGTGACAGGGATCCCAGCAGCACCCACGTCTACCCACGCCATGTCAATCTCATTCTTACCTGCCGGGCGGGTAGAGAGCAGATTGGTCACGTGCCCCGATGTGCGAGGCAGCTGGAGTCTCTCTCCTCTTCTGCTCTGTGAGGATTTTATGGTCCCCTGCGATGACTGGGATTCAGCCATTGCAAGGATCTTCTGTGTCCTGGATTCCACAGCATCAGCACACCCACTTCCCCTGTAGACTCACCAAGAGCCTTCCAGAAGATGCCGTCTCTGGACACCTCTGGGCTAAGGCCTGGATTCTGGCCAGCTTCAGCAGATACCATGGTATGATGAGGAAAGGTAGAGGCTCCAAGCCAGGCCCCATTTGCACCCTCCCCCCACCTCCACTGTCTTAAACAACTTTGGTGATCCTTGCTCCAGGAATGAAGGTAGGAAAGCTTTCCAGGAGCCCTGCTCCCCAGGAGCCTGGGTCTTTCCCACTCTACCTGGAGGTCCCTGAGGCCTTAGCCAGGGAGCAGAGAGGTCCCAGCGGGGTGAACATGGAGGGACTGTTGATTGGATGGTTCTGCTTCTCAGCCAAGTCCCAGCTCAGGTCGGCCCATGTTTTGCATTTCCTGAAGGGAGTCAAGGAAGAGCTGTCTACCTGCCAAAGCAACAGAGCTCATTAGCAGAGGCTGCCTGAAGACGCCCGCCGCCCAGCTCAGCAGCTGTCCAGGGTAGGGAACAGAATGTAGGATGAGACAACCTGGGGCAAACTGCAGAGAAGGGCCTGGGGACAAACATGGCTGTAAGGTTCTGAGGGCACCTTTGTAAGAGAGGTCTATGTTGCCTTCCTGTTGGGGGCGGGGAGCTGTGCTCACTCTTGGGAGGAAGAGGAGGGGAATCCTCCCCTACCCTGCTGAGCAGGTGGACCTCCCCTCTGGATGCTCACTTTGGGAGCCCCAAAGCTGGAGGGGACTCCAGGGCCACAGGCATCTCCCTGTGGGCTTGCTGTCTTGCACAGGCTGGAGAACTGCTGTGGGAGACCCCTGGCTCCAGCTGCTCGCAGCTTTGCCTGGCCTACCCCCTCCCCACCCCCAACCCCCATAACATGGTCCCCGGGAAACCCCTGGATCCTGTTCCCCAGCTCTCTCCTGCCTTCCTTGCCTGGCTGCAGCTTGTGCCAGAACAAGCAGGAGGGAGGATGGGGAAGGGAAGTCTATGCTTCTGATGGGTTTACACTGAGTCACACCAGCTTGGAATTCAGGCCATCGGGCAGGCTGGTAAGGACTGTCATGGGAAGGGAGTGTGGCAGCCCCTGCCCCTCTCACATGCACCTTGCCCCTGAGGACACTCTGGCATTGACTGTGTCTTCCCCCACCCTTTCCAAGGCTTCTCCCGATTCTTTATTTCATAAGGTCATTCCCCCAGTGCTTGCTACAAGCCTGCACGGTGCTGCAGGCTTTCCCTGTGGGGATGCCCTTGTTCCTATATGAGGAAATGAAAATCCAGCTCCAGGGAAAAATCCCTCTGGGTCCTCCCGGGTCTCCTGTCTCATTCCTCAGCACATTGCTGGGTCTTCAGAAGCCTCTAGCTCAGCAGTTCTCAACCTGGCAGGTCACAACCCCTTTGAGGGGGGTCCCATATCAGATATCCTGAATATCAGATATTTACATTATGATTAATAACAGTATCAAAATAACATTTATGAAGTAGCAATGAAAAAATGTTATGGCTGGGGGTCGCCACAACATGAGGAACTGTATTAAAGGGTCGCAGCGTTAGGAAGGTTGAGAACCAATGTTCCAGCTGCTTCTCACCACCTCTTCAAGACATGACCTACCACCTCCTCACAAGATCCCTGTTTCTACACTTGCTGTCCAGAGTCCCATCTCCACAAAGTGACCAGAGCCACCCTCTAAAGACATCCTTTTAACAGGGTAGCTCAGTTGGTAGAGTACTTGCTTAGCGTGCACGAGGCCCTGGGGTTTGGCCCTCTGCACTACCGAAACTGGGTGTGTTGGGGTACACCTATAACCCTAGGTTGGGAGGCCAGAGGATCAAAACTTCCAGGTGAAGGTGACCTTTAGATACATAGGGAGTTCAAGGTTGGTTTGGGATATATAACATCCTTCCTCAAAAACTGAACAAAGCAAGGAAAAAAAAAAAACCCAACCAAGCAAAGACCCATTGTGTCTCTGTGTAAATCTTTCCTCAGTATCTTTCAATCTCAGTTCCCAAACCCCACCACAGAAGCAACCAATGAGCCCAATCCCACCCACCCCTGCCGCCCCTCTCACCTCACCCCTATCACCTGGTCCCTTCTTTTCCAGACACACTGGCTTCCTTGCTTTCTGTGACAGTGTCAACTGTGTCTCGGCCTCGGGGTCCTTGAACATGTTGTCAGTTTACCTGGATGATCTATCTTATCCTGCATAGCCCAGGTCTAGGCCTCAGTCCTCCCAAGGTCTCTTCTCAAATGGAGACTTTCTTAAAGAAGCTATGATGACTAATTTTATGTGTTAACTTGACTGAGACGCGGAGTGTCTAACTATTTGGTCACTGTATTGAATGTGTCTCCAAGGACATTTTTAAAGATGAGATTAACATTTGTATTAATAGGTCCATAAAACAGTTGCCTAATGTGAGTGGGTCTCATCCAGTCCTCAAAGGCCTGTAGTGTGGTTTGAGTATAAAATGTCCTCCATGGGAGGGAGAGAGAGAGAGAGAGAGAGAGAGAGAGAGAGAGAGAGAGAGAGAGAGAGCAGGAGAGGAGAAAAGTATAGCCTTGAATGAGGACCTATGGAGAAGATGGGCTGATATTTAATTGCTCCACGTATTTGGACCTCAGAGTGCTGGTAAAGGAGTTGTGGAGAACAGGATATGTGGGAGGACAAGGGCTCAGATGGCAAGGCCAAGACACCATTAGCCGAAAACAGAGCTCTTGGGCAAATGAGAAATGTGTGTTCCCATGGCTAGTACCCCTGTCCAAGAACTGGAGACACAGCTCTACTCTGAGCTAGATTGGGGGAGCAGGACCCCACAAGTGGCTCTTCAGAGACAACCGTGGCTTCCCTCTCTCCAGCACATATCAGAGAAGTCCCCAAGTCCTGCCTCCAAAGGCTGCTCAGCTTCCTACTTCCTGCCATCAGTCCCCAACCCCCACTTATCAGCCCACCTGCCCTGACAGTGGCCCTATACCCTCTAGGAATAAGATGTCACCTTCCCAGTTCCCTCCTGAGACCCGGCAAACATAAAACCATGAGCTGGCATGTGGAAAGAGGTTCTCAGTGACCCCCTTCTGCTCCAGCTTCTCCCATACTGGTCAAGCCACTGGTCTAAGTTCTGGAAAGCGCTTACCTTAGGCCTCTTCCCTGAAGATCCTAAGAGGTAGGATAAGCAAGCCTTATCCTACTAGGCAAGTATTTATGCCCTAGTGAGGCAGGGTCTAGGGAGGCTGGCTCTCCCTGTGGCTCCAACACCCAACCATAGCTTTGACTCTTCTGCTTGGCACCTTCTTGCTCAGACAGAAGCTGTCCCACGGGAGCACTGTCCCCCTCTAAGTCAGCCCCGTGCCCCATCCTTTCTACAGGTCTCCACTCTTCCCTCAGAAACTCCATCACCACCCTCCCTCCTTTTCCCGGTCCAAGCCCTCCCTTGTTGCCCCACCAACCCCACCTGCTTGCAGAAACTTCCCTTGGCTACCTTAATCCCTTCCCCAGAATCCCAGTAGCAGTGAAATCCATTCATCACTAGGTAGACATCACCTGAGTGCCCGCACTTGCATGCCCTGTGCTGAATACAGTGGACAGAGAAACGAGCCCCCTGAGACCTTGCCTGCCAGGGGCTTCCAGATGAGAAGGCCAGTGTGGACATCTCTCCCTGGGTGCTGGGATCACCTCCCACAAACCATTCTGCAGCCATCTGAGCAACCGCTCCTGGAGCTGGCCCATCCTCCCATTCTGCTCTCTACTCCTGCACAAGTAATGATGGGACCAGGCAGGTGTCTGTAGGTAAATGGTGGAGGACAGACCTAGTGCTGGAGGAACCCGGGAAGCTGAGACTCTCTAAGATGGATGGGATGAGGGAGGGGAGCCTGGGAAGCTTTTCCAAGGTGGTCTGTGCAGCGTGGGGAAGTGAGAGGTGGATGGGGACAGGGGTGTGGAGACAGAATGGACAGCAGCACAAAGGCTCTCAGACAGACTTCCCCAAAGCTTGGTGTTCTGGCCAGCAAATGGTTTTGTGGCTCTTCCAGTGAGCCATAGATCATCTCTGAAGGGTTTTGAGCAGGGAAGTGAAAAGGGACAGGCTGCTGGTGAGTAATAGCTTTATAGTAATCTGATGAGCAGCAATGGGGCACAGATTGACCTAGGTGGGTGGGGCAAAGAGACTGGGTTGCAGCCAACTTCAGATATAATAGCCAAGAAAGGACAGGGTACAGATTATCTGCTAGGTGGGGAGAGGGGTCCCAGGGACAAGGGCAGGGGCCTGCCCCAAGAGAATAATAAGGTGGCTAGATCGTATACCATAGGCAGTCCAATTTAATAAGAGGATGTTAAGGACCCATGATGTACAGAGATAAGCAATATCGATGTCAGTTTTCAAGATGCAGGATTTGATAATGAGGATGGTATGTGAAGGGCAAAAGTGACCGGAGGAAGCAGAAATAGAAACTAGAGAGGGGAGGAGGCATGCTGTCTTCGGGGCGCAGGTCCCTCACTGTGTTACCTCCACCACTCCAGGATGGTTTTCCCAGCACTGTTCCCCTGCCTAAGATGACAAAGTGTAACAGGACAGCCATGAAGCCTGCAGCCCCACCCTGAGGGAGGTCCTCAGAGCCGTGCCTTAGCCCACACAAGGGGAAGGATGCGCACCAAGCAGGGCCTAAGCCCAAGGGTTTCACTTAGCTCTGAACACTGTGCGAGTGACCTTGCGTGACTCCGTGCTCCTCTAGCCACGCACTGGCCACACTTAACTATAAAACAGGAATGCTTCTGCCTTCCAAAGGGGAAGTATGTCCATCCCCCAACGGCACACTGCCGCTGCATCTCTACTTTCTTATTCCTTCATTTCTGAAGTCTCAAGGTCAAACTTCTAAATGCCTTTTGAAGCTACCCGTTTGTCTCTGGCCACCCCACTCCCACCCCCTTCCCTACCCCCCGCCCTGCCCTGAGGAAGACCTAGTGCTCTTGGGATCTCTGGGACTAGAGACCCCCCACTGGCCCACTCCACGGGAGCCCTCTCTCCTTCAATCCCCCCAAATTTAAATGCAAACCTGCTTTTCTCCCTCCACCACCTAAGAAATCCTTAAGTGGTTTCTGGCCACTCTTAAACGGAAATCACATCTGATCACCTGCCTTCTCCCCACGCGTCTCCTGTGTCAATCTCCTCCTCTCTCTGGATGCTCCAGCCTTATTGGCATGCCTCCAGTTCCTTGAACACTCCAAGCTCGCCTCGGGGTCTTTGCCCTTGCTGTCCCCTCTGCCGGGGACCATGTCCCTCCCACTTCCCTGGGTGACTCCAGCACAGCCTGCAGCAGGGAGCTTAATTATCACTCCCTCTAAGAGACCTTCCCAGAGCACCCAAATTAAACTGACTCTGTTAGTCCAGCGCAGAGCGCCCTGTGCTTCTTCCCTGAGCTTTCCTCTCCTTTTGCAAATAAAT